GGATTTAAATATATGTATATATGTACCTATATACACAAATTTAATTTGTTCATAAAATCAAGGCATATTTAATAAGGTAGAAGTGACAACTATGCAGCTCTAACTCTCCTGTAGCTGGTTACAATGTCAAAAAACTGTAAACAAACAAATTAACCCTTTGAGGTGGGAGTGCTATGTTTGATACAAATTGTACATATGTATGTACGTATACTTATTTTAAAAATTACTTCCATATTACCTTCAAAGACTTGTAGTAGCATTCGCATCTTATATGCACATATACATACATATGGACAGAAAAGAATACCTCATAAAGGAAACCACGTAATTAAATGAAATAAATGTTTTATAAAACTGTTTTAAACATGTGAATTGCACCTGGGTATAAACGAATGCGCTTAAAAATATGAGCAAGTAATAATATCATNCACACAATGCAACGCTCGTAGTTCCTGCTCCTTTTCATTTTGTATATGTATGTATCTATAAATGCATGTGGTCGAAAAACAAAAAAATTCACACATACAAAACTATCTCAAAGCACGCAATTGAATTTTTAATAAAAATAGGAAAAGGCCAACTAGAAAAGGGTTAAAAGTTATTCATCATTTGACATTATAGTCGGTGTTCAAAAGAGAGAAATGTCAAAATCACTTCTACCTTACTTAATATGCCTTGCATAAAATAAGTCAAATTTTACAAACTGGCAGCAATGCACATACCCGAGAAAGCTGCGTTCATAAAAAATGCACTACGACCTGCGAGTGAGCGAGACAAATAGTGCGGAGCTTTGCATTATTTTGGCAGCTGAACTAACGAGTGAAAAGTAGTCCAAAGAGAAATGAGCGATATATGTAAATGCATTTCAAGCAGCGAGTACCAATCTTGGCTGTTTTAAACTGTAGTGTAAAAAAAAAATTGCAAGCACACAATCGGCTCTACACCAAAAATTAAAGCCTGTCAGACCTGGCAATGCAATAAATTTCGAAAAGGCTGTCAAATTGATAAATTTCATAATGCAGTCGCATGAGCAGTTAAGAGCCTGTCAGACGTGGCAATATTTCCGTCTTTCGCACGCAATTCGCTGTCAAATTGAGAAAGAGAAATTTTATTTCGATGTGTGAACAGCCAGAAAGATCTTTCTGTCACTTTTCGGAAATCAGTTTCAGAAATAAAAGTTGCAAGTTGTGCCTGCAACTGCAAGAGCGAAAATCGATTTCGGAAATATATTTCAACTTGGTCCTGCTGCACTAGCAATTTTTATTACTTCTTCAAGTGCTGTCAAACTAATGTTGTTGTTGTTGTTGTAGCAGCATACAAATTCCCCAAAGACTTTTTGGGGAGTGTTGCTGGAGTGACAGTCCTTGGCCAGATATAAATCTGGGTCGTTCCGGTTACGTAGACCCGACTGTCGTGGGAACGCTGTCAAACTAATCGAGTGTTGCCGTATGGCACTGATCGTGAATTTGTGTAAAATGATAAAAAATATTGTTGGATTAAATATCAAAAATGCTTGAAATATATTATTTTTACTTATTACTTATTATACTTAATTGTTAAATCTTTGTTCACACGGCAAATATGTTAATTATCACCTATATTTTGTGGTTTTGATTTTTGCTTATTTTTGGGTTTGTGTTTTTTTTTGATTGAGTACGGGATTGCAATAATTTTTAATAAAATTGCTTTCTTTTTCAACTGCAGCTTACGACCAGTATTCATTTTTCGCGTTTTCGCTTTTACATGAGAAATAGCAAACAAACGACAACCCCAGCGCCCATGGTTGCATTTTAGTATTGAGAAAGATTGCCAGAAACTCATTCGCTGTGTGAACAGACAAAAAGCGATTTCAGAAATTTTTTCTGCAATTCGCCTTTCGGAAATAAAAACCTCTTTCGAAAGACACTTTCCATGCAAGGTGTGACTGCTCATGCCCTTGATTTCTCAATTTGACAGCTTATCCGAAGTTTATTGCCGTCTTACAGGCTCTTTAGACCTTTGCATGTAAAGTATCATTTGAAAGACGTTTTTATTTCCGAAATGCGATTTGCAGATTGCTAGGGCATCACGAGCAAGTTGAAATATATTTCCGGAATCGATTTGCGCTCTTAATTGCAGTCACATCTTGCAATTTTTATTTCCGAAATGTAACAGAAAGGCTGTTCACACATCGAAATAAAATTTCTCTTTCTCAATTTGACAGTGAATTGCGCGGTAAAGTTGTAAATATTGCCACGTCTGACACGCTCTTAACAGGAACTACTTGAAAATGGTACAGATTTGCAAAAGATACATAAACAACATTCATTTTACAAATCAAAGACTTTGCAACGGAAATTATTTCTGGCAACACTTGATTGAGGAAAGGCAATGACCAAGAATGTCCAAAAAGACAAAAAAAAAATTGAAAACGAGTAAAAGGGAACATGAAAAGCATCCAACTATATACAAATGCAATCAAACAAAGATGTAGCAAGCAGCACATACTCCAAAAGGCGTATTAAAGGTGGAAAAAACCTAACGAAAGAATGCGGTGGCGTCTTGCAATAATGGCACAAGACGTCCGTATCGATACTCTAAAGCGATGCGAGGAACTATATGGGATAAAAGATGGCAGCAATGCAGATAAGTGAGTGCAATTTGTCGTATTTTATTGTCATAAGTAAAACTTGTCTATGAAAAGAAAATGAACTATGATTATTTCGCCTTGGTTTGTTTTTAGTATAAAATTAAACATTTAATAAGCTGCTTACACAGATAATTTGACACACGTCAAACTTTTAGTTATATATGGAACCTGGTTTCGTTAACATTTTCTTGACAACCTATAATTATTGCTAAATTGCATGTTCCATTGGGATCTACGTTCTTGTTCTTAAACTTCAATGGTGGTGCCACCCGCTGCATACACACTCCTCATTCCAATCGGGAGCCCACATATCTTCCACTTCAATAAGAAATAAAAGTATTCGTTACTATTCCCATACGCATGCTGCTCCAATTTTATAATTTTCCCAACCAACAGCTTCTTCAAAGCTTTAGTCATCACTTATCGTGAATTTTAAAGAATATTTTCACCAATTATACCTTTTTTTCTTCCTTTTCCGAGACACCTTCAGACTTCGGCGTTTCCTATCGACACTTATTCAATACTTCCACTTTATCGATGCAGTCGCCGCCACGACCGTTTGGTCGTTTTTTTTTTTTGCTTTTGTTGGTGTGCTCCACCACACTATACCAGAATTGAAATTTTCTACCAATGCTGCTTCTTCTTCGTCGCCTCTTCGGTGAATTTTTCTTTATGTATAAACTTTTCTCGCACAAATTTTCGTCACAATACACAATCAATCATAGACAAATTATTAATTACTTAATAACGCAACTTTTCACACAATTTTCAACGTAGTTAAATTCAATTTCCTCTTTGCTTGCAGCAGAAATTTTATGATTCCGACACGAAAAAAATTTTCCGTTTCGCACTCGTCGTCTTTCTGCAGCTACTTTTCTGCTTCGTTTGCTCGTTGAATGGTTTTACGGCCGCCGCTGCATTTGCCGTTTCCGTAATCGGGATAAATCGTGGATAGATCACGAAACGTCGCTATAGTTGGCTTTGTCAGGCTATCGCTTAACCGAACAAATGAATCTTACGACAAAACGAGATGAATAGCAAAGCTAAAAGCAAGGCTGCCGGCTCTTTTTGGCAAGCAAATAAAATTTGCGTGTGAATGAATCAACTAAGGTAGGTATTGATTTGTATACGTGATGTGCCAAAGTGAAATTTGCAGAATTAAAGGTGTTGCCAGGTAGCACACATGGCAAACAAGTTTATATTAGTGAAGCAATAAAGAAAAAAAATTTAATTATGCAACATAATATGGGCAGCGTATATATCAAGTTAATCCTACCAAATTCCATTTTTAGCTTTTTATAACCTTTCATTCATAATCATTCATAAATCAAGTTAAGCCAGCTGCAGCTGGCAACACCACGTTAGACAGGTTGAATGATCTTCCCTTCAATAAAGTGCAACTCATGTCTCACTTGTCACACAAACTAGTGTTCAAATTAATCTATCAGCTATATGCTTACAATTTTCGCTACCACCTCATATATGTTTCGCTATAAACTCTGAAAACATGCTGATTAACCCATTTTTTTCTTCCAAACCGGCAATACACTCACAAAAACAAATGAAAAATACTACAAATTTTAAATGAAAACAAAAAAAAAATGTTTCTGTATGCAACACATATTGCTTACCCTTTCTCTCGACGCTTGTACGCGAGTTCGTTGCTCTCCTACACAATTCACACCCGCTCTCGTTGCACCTTTCGCACTCACACACACCCGCACACGTACGCTACGAATGTGTATGCTGTCTATGCAAGCGTGCGTGCCGTAATGCAAAAACTTCAGCCCACTATCAGAGAAAGTCGCCTTGTCTCTCTTACTCGAACTCGTTATATACTTTGCTCGCTGCACTAAGCTGTGAAATAGCCTATTCGTTCGAATCTTAGCAAATTACAATGAAAATTTGCCGAGGGGCGTCCGATGTGAGGGGCTTAACTGGACCGAAGAGGAAGCAGAATCCAATGAGAATCTTTTTTTTCTGCTTGATAGAAAATTTTTTACAACTTTTATGCGTTATGTTCACTTTGCACGTACACAAAATCTATTTACTGACGTAGCACGTATGTTAAGCTGTGACTTGTACACGTTTTTGCGTTATTTAAAGAATTATTTAACAGCGTTTTACCGTCTACCGTCACAAACAAGATAGAACACTTTCTTGCGGTTTGTCACAATTACTTAAAATGGCGTGTGGCCTGTTCGTACTCGCTTGCTTTATCGAATAAGAATACGGTGCCGACGAATAACGAGTACAACGGCGTTA